GGTAAGACTGACGGGCCTATAATTGCCCGGGTCCTCCCTCCTCCCTTTTTTAAAGATGGAGACCACGTTGGCTATGTTCTGTTCATCCGGCACCTGGCCCGAGTACCACAAGTGCTCATAAAGCCATGCCAACGGCCCTGCAATTACCCCTGCTAGCTCCCTCAACACCCTGGGGTGAAGAGCATCTGGACCCGCTGATTTGAACACGTCCAGCCCCTCCAGAAGCTCTCTAACCCGGTCCTCCCCAACCTGAGGTCTGGAGGCGTTCCCCTCAAGTCCTTCTTGCATCACGGTGGGGAAGTCCCAGTCCCTGCCCAAGAAAACAAGAGGTGAAGAATTGGTTAAAGAGGTCTGCCTTCTCCTCTGGCGCAACCACCAGATTGCCCGGAGAATCTTGGAGGGGCCCCACATTTCCCGGTGCTTTCTTCATCCTCCTTACATATTTGAAAAAAGACTTTTTTTTATCTTTGATTTTGGACACAAGTCCTAGCTCTATGTCTGCCTTAGCTTTCTTGACAGCCCCCCTACAGGCCCGAGCACTTGAATGATAGCTTTATGTGAAACTAAAACATCATAAATATTGGGAAGCATTATACGTTTCTTATTTACTGTTTGTGAATTAAATGTTTAATATGGGGAGTGGCAGGGAAATCACAAATTTATTTCCCTGTTTTAAAACCCACGTTACAGTTAAAAACGAGACATGGGTGTTTTAATATGCTCCCAAAGGGTGATTACCAATGCATAAGGTAAGGATTTTTGTGGGTGATATCTTTTATAAGACTTACTGCATGGTTGTGATAAATTAGCCAAGCTTTTGAATGGAGTATATTCAAAAATGCATTGGAAAGAGGCCTGAGGAAGGTAGAGGCCTGTGATACTCAAAAGCCTTTAAGTGTCATCTCAACCATCTAGCTGGTCCAGTAATAGATATCACCCACAGGAATTCTTGCCTCTTACAGATTCATGGCCTTTCATAGTTAAGCTTCAATTAAAAAAAAAAAAAAAGATAAATTAGGGTATGCTAATACACCAGTGGTGGGCAAAATATGGCCCGTGGGTCAGATCCAGCCTGCCAGGCCATTCTATTCGGCCCACAGGGCCCCTAAAAAATTTAGAAAATGAATATTTATCTGCCTCTGCCTCCTGTCAAAGGATGGGGGCTGAGGCAGGGGGACTGGGAGGTAGCAGTAAGAGCCAGCAGAAGCCACGGCAGGCTCCTGCAACAGCAGGGCCCACCCAGCCCTCCCTGCCGCCAGAAGCGCCTGCCTAGCAGAGGCTTCTGGCCTGGGACCTTGAAGCTGTTTGTGCCTCCCTGCGCCGGAGTAGGAAATTCAGGTAACAGTGAGGGGTGGAGGCAGGGGAGGACCGCGGATTATTGTCCCAGTCCTTGGGGCCAAGCTAGCTCCTGCTAACCCCCATGGTCTGGCTATGCAGTGGGAAGTCACATAATGCTAGAGTGGGCAGTGGGCAGGCAGGGAAGTGGGGAAAGCTGTGGCAAGGAGGGAGTGGGAGCAAGCAGGTGTGCGGTGTCCTGAGGCCAGCACCAGCGGGCCTCAGAGCAGGGCAGCAGGAGTGCAGCGCCTGGCGTGGTAGGGGTCTGTGGAGCTGGGCTGGGCTGCACCAGCAGGGAGAGAGAGGAGCTGGCCCAGTTCCATAGAGCCCCTGCTGGGACCCTGCACTCCTGCCACCCTGCTCTTGGCTTTGTCAGTGCCGGCCCCATGCTGCTGTCCAGTTGTCGATGGCTCCTGCCTGCCCGCTTGCTTCCAGTCCCCGCGCCTCAGCCCCATGATAGAGACGGGACGAGCACATGCAGCCCCGACCCCATGCTTGCCCTTCTGGGCTGAAAAGCAGGGGCGCGGAACAAACTGGCGCTCAGTGTGGGAGAAAAGTGACCCTTCCCCGTAGCCTGTGCTTCCTGGTGCAGCCACCCGGAGCTGTCCTATGTCTCCACCATGTCACCATAAGACGTAGAGTGGGAAAGGTAACTAGTAGGACTAGACTTTAGGAAGTCTGACTTCAGCGAGCTCAGGTGTTTAGTCAGTGATGCACCGCAGAGTAAGAGATTTGGCAAGATGGGAGCCCAGGAAGGGTGGCTGTGCCTTAAGGAAGCAATCCTTTGGGCACAGAGGGAGACGATCCTGATGCAGGGGGAAAGGGGCCAAGAGGTTTCCTTGGCTAACCAGAGAAATCCAGAGCAGCCTAAGGGCAAAAAGGGGGGCATATAAGCAGTGGAAATGGGGAGAAATTACTAAAGAGAAGTATGCCCCCTCAGCTCACAGTTGTAGGGAGGCAGTTAGAAAGGCCAAAGCAACCATGGAGCTGACAAGACTGAACTCCTCAATGAGTTCTTTGCTTCAGTGTTCCTAAACAAGGGGCATGACAAGTCTCACAATGGGATCGTAGAGCCAACAGAAGGGTGCCAGACCACCAAGCGTTGACCCTGAGATATTGCAGAGTCACTCGGAAGAACTGGATGCATTTAAGTCGGCAGGCCCGAATGAGCTCCATCTGAGGGTACTGAAGGCACCGGCTGATGTCATTGCACAGCCACTGGCAAGAATATTTGAGCACTCGTGGCGCACGGGCCAGGTCCCGGAGGACTGGAAAAGGGCCAATATGGTCCCTATTTTCAAGAAGGGGAGGAAGGAGGATCCAGGCAACTATAGGCCAGTCATTCTCACCTCCACCCTTGGCAAAGTCTTTGAAAAGATTATTAAGG